TAAAGTTACTATCTATCTGAAGTTACAACTTTAGATATACTGTATAAAGTTGACCTGACTAAAATTAAGCCCTAAAATTAGATCTTTATACATATAATTCTGGTTAGGTACAATTTTATATATCTAAAGTTGCAACTTCAGATAGATAGTAACTTTATATATAATACTTTCATTATTTTGTTATAATTTTTAAGTGGTTAATTACATATCTACGAATTCTGAACCTATGTAATATAGTTTCAGTATTTAGACCAATTTATATTTCTATAGAGAGAGAGAGAGAAAAAGGGAAAGAGAGGGAAAGAGAGGAAAAAGAAAGAGAGAGAAAGAGAATATATTTATTATTTTATTATAGAAATATTAAAAATTTTTTTGGAATATAAATTTAATAACTTATATTTCTAAAGAACAAAAAAAATTTTTAATCTTTTTCACTACTTGTACTAATGCTTATATTTTATGTATTCTAAATATTATAGTTAAAACATTAGAAACTTTGGATTAAATAGTAGGTCGATTATAAGAATATTATAGTTTTATTAATTATATAGACTAAATATCATATTATATCTTTAATAAAGGTCATGATAAAATAAAATTTTTTTTTGAAACAATTCGGCAATCTTGCCTCTACTTTATTAGGCTTGGAATATTATACTGAGAAATATTACAAATTTTCGAAAAACAAGACTCTAAAGGACAAGTTTAAACGATATCTAAATTACAAGTATTAGCTCACCCGGCTTTTTGTGACCAAAGTCCAAATTACCCATGTGTGATCTGCTATAGACAGAATTCTTCTCTGTAATATCTACTTCTGCACTTAAAGAAATATAAAACTTCACTGGAAGGTTTTTACCGGCCCATCAAGACTACCTATTCCTTCTTTAAAACTTTTTTCACCTAGATCTGAGCAGAATAGTTGATCTCTTACTTTTTTATAAGAAACAAAAAATATGCCACATTTACAAAAGAAAAAACTATATTTCGAAAAAGAAAGAGAAAAACAAAAAAAAAAAAAAACAGAACTAAAAAAAATAAATTCTAAACAGAATTCTAATATAATATGAAAAAGATGAAAAAAGCAGAAAAAAGAATAGGATAGTCCTGGTGGACACACCCAAAAAAGAAAAGAAATACAAAATACACTATTATAACCTGTGTTAGGTAAATATAAAAATTATATAACAAATACAACATTTGTATATCTCTGTTATAAAGCTTCGCTTTAATGTTCGATTTTTCTTTCTGAGCTTTCCACTGACTCCAAATAATTATGTTGTGCCTGTCCTAATTCATATCTCGAGCCAGGTGCTGCTGCCGTCTGTAGACCTGGATCTCAAGCCACCTGCTGCCGTTATTAGGAGTTCCATGTTAGGGGCCCGATCCTAACACGCCATATCTGTAAAACATGTGGTTGCAATTCATTAGATTGTCTGAATTTAGAAAGTAAACAATGCTGATTTTTTGGAGGGGATAAGCCAAATCCCTACTTTTTGTCGAAAAATTTTGGAAGAAAAGCAGGGAAGCGAAAAAAAGATAGTAGGCACCACTTGGCCAAAAAGAAAAAGTGCAGCTTAAAAGAAACCTGTTCTTTACTGTTCCCTAGTTGTTTTGCAACCAATAGCTTCGTTGACAGAAGGTTTGGACTGTATCACCTCCACCTAACCACCAAAATTTCGTATATGAGGGCACTATCTTCTGCCAGTTATCTTGTATACAGACGCTTTTGGCTTGCATGTCGAATATATAAAGGAGTCCCCGAACTTAGAAAAGGTTAACCTTTATAAAAACTGCCCTGTTGATTCACTTCACTACAGGTTACTACTCTCTAGTATTGAAAATAGCTTTTTTTTTTCGTCAGAAAATTTGGTCCAAGTGATCATCAGAAAGAGTTTTTTTCTAAAAATTTTTTGTGATAAAATAAGATTGAATTATTTAATTTTCAAAATAATAAATAATTTTGCTAATAATTATTATTTTTTTTTTAACAACGCTGCCTCTTTATTACTCATTATAGTGGAATATACACGAATGTACATTATTTTTATAAGATTTTTAGTATATCATTGGTTACAAATTCCTAACTAGTACTTGTTATGCTGCCATCACCAAGTTCGTATCTCAAGCTACCTTTTAAGATACTGCCGAAACCTGATCTGTATCTCAAGCCACAACCTTTCTAATTAGTTATCCCCTATTGCAGATGTCCCAGATTCCTCCTCCTGCGGTGTTTTAGTTCCTAAACTTCTATAACCACCTTGAGTGAAACGTACCAAACCTTACGGCCCAGTATAGTCATATTAACTCTATTTATCTCACCATTGGTCCTCACATCCCGTGAAGTTTGTTTACCCTGACTCTGGGTGCCTCCAAATCATTGGATGGTGGAATATTTCCATTTTGCTAGATATCACATGTCCCACACATGTGTTCTTTATTTAGACTTCGGTAATCTACGCCACGGCTCTACCCATATACTTGGGTTAGGGCTAACCATTGAACCCCTGTGATTACCTACTTCCGCCCTTATTAGATTTTCAACAAAACTGATACCCGCAATTGGACCATCTTCTTACCTGGATTCTTTATCGGTCTCTTTCTTACTTTCAGCCAGCACCCGGAAGGGTCGGTCTGCCCAGGCTTTAGGTATCTGAAGGATGTCCTCCCCTTGGTACATACTTTCGGAGTGTATATCCTTTTCCTCCAGTGTGACAGAACCTGGCGATTCAGCTAGTGTGTCCTCCGCCATTAGGACCTGGTCGTTTGGTTCTCCGATCTCGGGTCCCGGTTCGAATTCAGCCCTTTTGTGATACCATCAAAGATCATTATTACTTCTAACTCAGGACTTCCCAAATGGGTTTTTGGTTATGCTGGTTTCTTGGATTTATTGCGCTATTGCTCCCATTACTAGATGGTGTGACCGAAGTTACAGACTAGATTCAACCAATATGCATTAGCCATCAACCGAACACAAGCCTATTTTTCAAATATTGTCGTCTGTGGGATTCGAACTCTAGACCTGCCACTTGGAGAGAGTGACAACTAGACCACTACACTAAGTCGCCACACCTCATTTTGCTAATAATTTATTTGGATATTGAATTTTTTAATTAATATAATTTTGGATTATATTAGTTAATTTACACATATCTATCTATTTTTAAATATGTAACAAATTCTTCTTTAGCAACATTTATCTTTTTAAAAATCATGCATTTTGATTGGTAACTGTTACAAATAGATTTACAAAAATTAATCAATTTTTCTATAAGTACTATTTATTTTGAACAATTGATATTGTGTTTGTTTTTGTATGCTAATTATTTTTGTATTTTAGGTAAAGTTTCTAATAGATAAAAATAAAAAAATAAACCAATATATAAAAAAAAATTTAGATTCTATATACTCTGAACTTTGCTTCAATTGCTTAATTGTCATACCTTAAAAAAAATTTGGGCATACCACCTTTCTAGTAAAAATTTATTATCATAATTGTCATACTTTAAAAAAATTTGTACATGCTATTTTTCTGAAAAAAGATTTATAAACATATTTATTATACCCAAAAAAAATTAAAATACAATTTTTAGCACAAAATATTTATTAAAATATTATTATTATTAAATATATTAAACTTTAATATATTCAAAAATAATACATAAATAAGTTACATTTATCAAAAAACGAATTGTAAAATATCTATATATTAGTTTAAAAAATATACAAAGCTTAATATAACTAAAGTCTACTTTAAAAAAGCATTTTTATTATCTAAACTTTGGCATAATATATAGTAAATATAAATAGTTTTTATATTTAGTAATAAAATTTCTATATTATTTCTAATAACTGTTATTTTTTATTTTTTTTTATTTTTATTTTTTTTTAATCTTCACGGGTTTTGCCATGGCTTGCTTTTTATTAAAATGTGTATAAGAGCTATATACATTTAATTTATAGAACTCAAAGCCCAACTTCACTCAGTTACCTTATGGCCCTAAATGCAACCCGTTGCACCAGTTCGTGGACAAACTAGAATTATCTTATCAAAAAATCTATAAAAAAAAGAAAACGATCTATGACTAAAAAGGAGATATAAAAGGAGAAATAGGGGAAATGAACAAAGTATAAAAATAAAAAACCAAAAAAAAGGGAAAAAACGGGAAAAAATAAAAACATTTTATAGAAAAAAGATAACAATTCGAGAGGGATTTCAGCATCACCAAAAAAAAATATGTGTAAACCTCTGTAAATAATTATACATCGTAAATCTTTCGAAAACTTACAATTAGTACAGAATATTATATAAGGGTAAGATTTATAAAAATTTATGTTATAGTAATTACGTAATACTATGAAGGCAAAATTACAAACCTATGAAAAAATATGCAAACTTGCAGAGGCAAAATTATGCAAACCTACGTAAGTCTATGAAAATTTGTGCAAATTTACAAAATAATGCATCTGCATCATGATGCATCTTTATTATATGCCTGATCAATTTATTTTGCAAAATCAATTTTAACTTTTTTACATAATTATGATTTCATAATAACAATTTTTTATTATTTTTAGCACGATCAATTACAAAGAAAAAAAAAAATTCAACTACTAACTCTAACCACAAACCAACTACAACAACTACGACTATAATTGCTAATATTAAATCGTCACGTAATAAATGTTTTCAATACACTGTAATATCCAAGGCCATCTACAAATGACGTTTATAACAAGCTCCAGTAACAACAAAGCGAAGGCTTAAACGAAGAAAGCACAAGATGCACCAACGGAGGTCTCAATAACGGCACCAAAGTGGTAAAATAAACAACAAGAGTGACATCGAAGCGACAACAAAAACTTCTGCAATCCACCAAAGAAAGTTTCAAACTGAAGCGACCTACTAGTTGTTCTAATGAAGCTAGAAAAAGATTAGTTTGAGAAAAAAGAAGCAAACAAGAAAAAAAAAAAAAAAAAAACCAAGAAAAAGAAACTACTTATCTTATAACATCAAGACAAGCGACGAAGGCCCCAATAAAAATACCAAGCAATATATCTGTTTCAGCGAAGCTAAACCTAGAAAATGAAAAAATTAATTTGAGAAAAAAAAAAAAAGTGAACAAAGAAAGAAAAACTACTAATTTATAACACTGAAAACTCCAACAATAATACCAAACCAATATACTCATTTCAGCAAACCAAACAGTAAAGCTTAAAATCGCTGACGAAACCTGAAGTTTCCACAAATGACAACCAGAATCTTCATACTATAGATGACAGGTTCGAAACGAAGAAAGCTCAGAATCTCCATAATGACAGCGCCAAAGGACGAAATCCCAAAATCTCTATACTTCATTAACGATGATGCTACCACTAATTAAGTCTACAAAAGAAAGTTATTGGTTCAATAAAAAAGAAAAAGCAAATGACAAAGCTACTTATCTGTTATTTTACAAGCTTTGGTTCTAAATTCGCAAGAACCTCCTCCTACCCAGCGAAGCAAACTTGCAAAATAAGAAAGTGTTTATAAAAAAAAAACAACCAGGCAAACAACGAAAAAAAAACAAAATCCTAAACAAAGAGAAAAAATAAAAAAATAAATCATTTATAAGTTCGATTATAATCACTACCCGGTTCTAGTGAAAAAAAGGAAGAAAGTCAAGAAAACAAAAAACAAAAAAATAAGATGATCTAAAAATTTAAATCTAGATCGTATATCAAATACGTAATTTAATAAGATCAGGTGACTAATATAGACATAATTCACGATCCATTTTTGCTTAAATGTTTATTTCTAATCATTTTTCGACAAAAATTTGGGTTTAAAAAATTATATAAAATTTCAATTTCTATTCTTTGGCAAGAGCTAACTAATCCTATTCTTTGGCAAGATCCGTACAAAGCCTTTATTCAATTCTAATTATTTTCCGACGCTATTATCCATTTTCATTCAAGCGAAACCTTTATTCATTTCTAATTTCTTTTCGACAAAAATTAGGTTTAAAAAATTGTATAAAACTTCAATTTTTATTCTTTGGCAAGATCCATTTTTGTTTAAACGAAGAAGGTATTTATTTATTTCTAATTAATTTTCATTTCTTGTTGAAGATGAAAACTAAATTTCGATTCCTATTCTTTGGCAAGATCCATTTTCATTCAAACGAAGACATTTATTCATTTCTAATTATTTTTCGTAAGCCGAAAATTCGTTTTTAAAAAATTAAATTCCTATTTCTTGGCAAAATACAGTTTTGTTCAAGCGAAAGCATTTACATATCTTTCGTTTCTTGCTGAAGACGAAAAATATATAAACAAATATAACCATATAAAATTTTTTACTTAGATTTCGTTTATCATAATTCTTCATACATCCTCGACAAATATTAATAATATCTTGGTCGTTTGAAATCCTAACCAAGATTTATATTTAACATTTTTAATAGCAGCACCTGTTTAAGTAATATATTTGTTATAAAAGTCTAATTTATATTCGATTCCTTCTTGTTAAGGTTTATTGGTTGACATGAACAGTTTTTTCCATAAATTTTCGTACAAACTAAAGTACATCAAATATTTTTGAACAAGCGTTCGAATGAAAATTTAAATCGAATCGGCCTAATAATCATTTGGCCAATTTTTTTACCAGATAATATGATAAACTTCCGTTTTGGACGTGATTAGTATATAAAGGATAGAATTCAGACCGCCACTACAATATTAATACATTTGAAATTAAGATTTCGTTTAAGTACATGTCCAGTATGTTTAGTATATGCAAAAATTTATAGCAAGCAACATTTGTTAATATCAAATAAAAACGAAGAATAATACCCTTATTTCACCGCTACGTCCGGTAAATCTCCACCCTGCTGTGGGCCTTTTGGTTCCAGATGACCGGAGATGTACCTCTTATTCCTGCCATTGCGAGAAATAAATAATCTTATATTTTTTTATATATTGTAAAGACTTTCAGTTTATGAAATTTATATATATGTAAATCTTGAAAGTTTTATGTTATTAAAGTTTTTTAAAAAATATTGCATAAATTTTATTTATTTTATATTTTGTAAAACTTATAAAAGTTTACAGAAGTATATACTCAGCAAAGTATATATATGTAAACTTTTATAAGTTTTATAGTATGTAAAAAAAGTAAAAACTTATATAAGTTTACATATATATTTTTGCTATTTAGGATTTATAAATTTTTATATACTTCCGTAAGTTTTTACTGTGTGTAAGATTTATGTAAACCAACGTAAAATTTTTACATAAATTTACGATTTTCTTACGGTGCATAAGAAAATCGTAAATTTATTTAAAAATTTTACATTGGTTTACGTAAATCTTACAATGCATAAGAAACTTGTAAATTTACATAAAATTTTTACATAAATTTATGATTTTTTTACGCTAAATTTTATATAAGTTTACGATTTTTTTACGCACTGTAAAAACTTACGAAAGTTTACGCATATATATTTTTGCTAATGCATCTCTCTACATAACCAAAATATACTATTATAACCTGTGCAAAGCTAAAAAATTATATAACAAATGCAACGGTTGTATATCTCTATTGTAAAGCTTTGCCTTAACCTATATTTTCCTTTCTGACTAACTGACCAACTTTGGATATCTCATTAACTGGGGTCCCGATCTGACTTCCATAAGATAGCACCATATCTGTAAATAAACACGTCACATGGTTGCATTCTACTAAGTCTGTCCGAATTTGGAATGTAAACAATGCCGATCTTTTGAAGAGGGTAAGCCAAATCCCTACTTTTTTTGAAAATTTTGGAAGACCGACAGAAAAAAAACGAAAGGAGGTAAAAAAGGTATCACTTAACCAAGTAAAGGAGTATAGCTTCAAAAAAACGCAAGATTTGTTGTTTCTCCTGTGTTCTTCTTTGAAGTAACAGCTAAATAGCTTCGTTGACGGAGATGGGGCCGACCCCAAACACTACCAAGATTTTTCATACAAGAGTACCACCTGCCAGTTATCTTGTATAATAATGCTCTTGGCTTGCATGCCAAATATCAACTAATAGAAGAGTCCTGCTAGCAGTTACGTTGACCTCTAGACAAACCGCTTCATAGCCACATCTCTCCAACAAAAATTGTTTTTTTATTTAGTCAGATTTTTGGTTTAAATGATCGTCAGGAAGAGTAATAACTGTTATTAAATTATATAGATTTTTTAATAAATAATTAATAAAATTAATATACTTAATTTATTAAAATAAAAAATTAATATATATACTTGTATTAGTTAAAGTTATGATTTTACAAAGAGTTTTTGTCGATAAAGAGTTTTGTAATTACAAAAAATAATGAAATTCTTTTATTTGTAGTAAACTAAAAATGAAGTTACCAAAATAGTAATATTTACTAACCTTATAGCTTGCTATATTTAATTGTATAATATAATATACGTTGTATATACTGTTTATTTTGTAGCCTTGCTATGTGCAGCTAATACTCTAAAATAGAAATTTTGAATTTTAATATAAATTTTTATAATTTTTTGAACTTATAGCAATTTTGATTTTTTTTTTTTTTGCCAGGTTGATTATTTGATAATCTTAGATTGTCAAAGTTCTTCAAATAACTATAAAATATAGTCAAACCTTAGCAAACATGTGATTTGTATTAATTTAATAATATATTTACTACACAATTTTTGAAGCTATAAGTTTTGCCACAAAATTCTGAACCCTATTTTCTTGCATCAGCAAAAATATATATGCGTAAACTTTCGTAAGTTTTTACGGTGCGTAAGAAAATCGTAAACTTACGTAAAATT